ATTTTTCATACACTTTTCTAGGCACGTAAAAAAAGTATTGTAGGAATCTTTCTATATTTAGATAAACCGCTATAAGAATGCAATTTATAGTACATTCATCGTTTTTTCCTCAAGTTCATGGTTTAAGATAAGGGGTACCTAACTTTCTAGGTCTTAACATGCTTTTCTTTTTATTAATATCTAATAGTTAAGGAGTTCAAGAATTTTATCAATTACTGGAGCTTTTAAGCAGTTTTTATTAAGTAGCAAATTTGTTTAATCGAGAATCGTCCAATCATCAGAATCTGGATTACAGGAAAGTAAAAAGGGTTCAGTCAATGAATATGTGCTTTAGAAGAAACAAGGTTATAGTTTTCCTTATTACGGTTCTGTGGAACGTAGAGAAGAGCTTTTATTCAATAGGCCAGAGAACACCGGCTAATTATCCTCCGGGTACCGGCTGGTCGACCTGCCGGTGTGCCCGGCTGTTGTCCACCTTACCTCACTCGTACATGCATGCACTCATGGACTTACATGCACGAATGCATGCATGTAAGTCCAAGGCTTGCTCGCAATGATATTATAACATCACAACAGGGCGGATGCCGTATGAATCATAGTACGCGATGACGATGCCGGTGTGTTGAAGTAGACCGGAGCCCCCGAGGAGCCCTCCGCACCGCTAACATTCTGTTGGTACTTGGTACACTCTCGGGCAACTTACCAGCGATCGACGACTGCGGACGTGAGGCGACGTCGAAGCCGAAGCCCCACTGAAGGACTGAAGCCGGCCGTTTGTGCTTAGTCGCCTTCTCACTACTGGTGTCTGTGGTTGTAAGCATAAAACACGAAAACAATAAAATAAAGTAACAACATACAAAAAGCGGAAAAAGTTTTCGGGTGATTTGAACGTTTCTTTGTTATTTTCGCACGTTTCGTTTCTATAACGAGTGAAATAGTTGGATTTATTTCGCACTCGTTCTGAAAATTCCGGAAGACCGGCTGCATTCTCGTTCCGGGAGGTTCTTCTAGCGAAAAGTGAGTTTTTCTTGTGTATAATGTTATGAAAAGTGATTTTAATTACGCCCGGAATAAGGAAATCTTTTTTGTAATTGTTCGTTAAAGAGAAAATCTTTCGAATAATTTTCATGCAGATATCTTTCATGGCAAACTGCAGCTATACCTTCATACATTTACCGGAAAGATTTTTATTTCCAAAAAGAATATAACTGTAATAAGAAAATTTGATAAAGGTATTGTTGAATAAAAAGAAAATAGCACCGGGAAATTTTACTTTTGATAGTTTTTCGAAAGTCGGTTCTTTCATTACGATGTACATAAAAGCTCGAGGAAGTTTATGGGTACTAACAATAACGCCTCTGTTTCTTAAATTTAATGGTGTCTTGGTTCTCATTAATTAACAAAAAGTTTTAATTGCGTCAACTTGTATGCTTCAATCAAGTGCAACATCTGTACTAGAATCTTACGTCATTCACAGTTTTAATTTCTCATTAAACAGATGTCTGGAAAGCGTCAGTATACTGTAGTTTCGTGTTTAAAAAAGCTAAGACTTTATAGCGGTTAGCACAGGTGCATTCTCTCCTGGCATCCCGGTTTAATCACAAAAATAATGAAACTCTCTTCGTTACTGAACATTATGTTGAATAGTGAAATTTAAATTTAAATTATGAACAATTTAATAGTATGTCAGAAAAATTAATAAATTATCTACTTAAAGAGATTAAGGAGTAGCCCACACACTAATAAATTAATTAGTGTTGCAGGTGTGTGAGCAATATCAAAAACAGTGAGTATTTATTTACATAAACTCTACATCACACGATACGGTCCACATGTGATTAGTGTTTTATGGGGGAGCTGGCATCACGTTTGCGTGACAATACTACATAGTATTCGGTTGCTACCAGATGGTCGAGCTCGGCTCCTACTCTGACATAAAATAAATATTTATCAACGTACAATACCCAAAAAAAAGGACATCTTCTATTGTGAGGGAGATTTGTGGCAGTATGTATTTACAAGGAAGTTCGTTTTCCTTGATAAACATTCTTTAAATTAGTTTGGCATCACGCATCAAAAATGAAAGTGTTTCATATTTGAAAAGTGAATTAAGAAGAACTTCACTTGCGTTTGTCTCTATATCTAGAATACAATGGTTATGTTAGAGTTCGATTATTGATAACAGAATAAAGAGGATTTTTATTAAAAAATAAAAGAATTATCTTTTATACGTTTATCTACATAATCCACAGCTAATAAATACTTTCATACGGTAAATTATGTAGATTAATTGTTGTATCATGAAGTTTAACTTTGAACGTGTGGTTTATTAAAATGGATTTTATCAAAACCCTGCAAAAATTGAGCTGTAGGTAAATAAATTCATATCTAATTTTATGATGCAATGTCTGCGCGTTCTGTGTAAAGTTTGTATTTTGTTCATATTCGAAAATCGATACAAGATGAATCCATACGTTTGGGCGTCTAATATGCGATTCAGTATTACAGATTCATTCAGGAATATTAGTAAATTTTTCCGATAAATAGGTATATTATAGGGGATATCATTAGAAAGCGATGTAACGACGAGGAATTTTCGAAAATTTTAATAAATAGGGGAAAAAATTGTGAAGGTCATGGAGGTAAAAAAGAATCAAGAGGCGTTTAGCTTTATTGAGAAGTGCTTCACCAGAATCTAATTACGTTCGTATGATACCTCGGGTATGTCAAATACAATGAAATTGTACGTCTATTACAATTCCTAAAAAATGTGGTATTATAAACCGTAATTTTTCATACACTTTTCTAGGCACGTAAAAAAAGTATTGTAGGAATCTTTCTATATTTAGATAAACCGCTATAAGAATGCAATTTATAGTACATTCATCGTTTTTTCCTCAAGTTCATGGTTTAAGATAAGGGGTACCTAACTTTCTAGGTCTTAACATGCTTTTCTTTTTATTAATATCTAATAGTTAAGGAGTTCAAGAATTTTATCAATTACTGGAGCTTTTAAGCAGTTTTTATTAAGTAGCAAATTTGTTTAATCGAGAATCGTCCAATCATCAGAATCTGGATTACAGGAAAGTAAAAAGGGTTCAGTCAATGAATATGTGCTTTAGAAGAAACAAGGTTATAGTTTTCCTTATTACGGTTCTGTGGAACGTAGAGAAGNATAAAAATAATTAATATTTATGATAAAAATAATTAATTTTTTAATAAAATTCCTAAAGAAATACTTTCACAACATAAGTGCATAATAAATTTAATAAGATAATTTATAAAAAAAAGTTTTATTGACACATTAATGTACATAAGAGACTTAGTAACGAGGTCCTGTATTAAGGACGCACTCAGGACGTATTTCACTAAAACTGATATCACAGAAATAAACTTAGTTTTTTAAAACCTGAATTGGCAAGTAAATTTCACTATACATCATACGTACATAATACATTAAACTATTTAGAGTAAATATAAACTCAATCCAACAATTAGTAAATACTCAACCAACAAGTTTCGACAATTAACGGATAAGTAACAGCTTTTATACAATAATCGATTTCAAAATGTTCAGGTGAATTTGGATCACGATAAATCACGTTAATTTAATAATAAAATGTCATGATTAATTGGAAATAATAATTCAAAACCATGGCGTTTTCTGGCTGTACTAGGCCTGCGGAGCTACAATCTGGAATGGAAGTGGGTGTGTCGATATTTCGTTTTGAGAACATATTTTTCTGTTTGTTTGTTTTTTTTTGATTGATCAGCAATGTTCACATCAACCCCCGAACAAAGTAACTTTGATATCGATAAGTAGTTCGGACATTCAATAATATATTTTGGCTAGTAATGAGCAAAACAATAGCAAGATTTTTTAGCTAAGAAAAAGGTACTTGAAAGAAGCAAAAAATATCGAAATATCGAAATAAAAATAGTTTGTCTTTATATTTCAACCATCCAGACATAGCAAGAAAAATATTTTTTTATATTTAAGGTAAAATCTGGTAAAATAACTGAAAATTTCAGATACTAGAAATGTTTTGTTCCAAGAAGGGAATATATTAATGTTGCTTTTGTTGAAGCAGGTCAGTCGGTGTTTAAGTTATCCTAGATTAGACTTAATATTGTACAAGTAGTTAGTGATTTTTCCTTTAATAAATTTTACACTCTTTTTTTTACTATTTTTATTATTAATGGGTCCAGACTTACTATTCACAATTAAAAATATGTACAACTTTTCTAACTTAAACTAAATAATTTCGAAATGCGTTTGATCAGGAAAACCATGCTGACTTATGTATTACAATGAACTTATAGAAAATTTGGGACAAGTATTTAAATAATAACGAAAGAGAAGAACAATTTAAGATAGATAGATACAAGAAATAGTTACATTTCAGGTAAATATCCTACAATGAAATCAGTTCTTAATAAATGAAATATGGTGATGAATGAAAAATACGGCCCTAGTGTGATTCAGGTCAGGTAAATTTTAAATATTTTACTATTGTATTGTAAATTCAAATTGTAATATGCAGGATAAGATGAAAATAATATACAGTTACAACCAAACACAATCGAATAAGATTAGCAATTATCGAATAAATAATCTACCTACTTACATCTGTAATTAAATAAAAAACATAATCTTAACAAAAGAAACTTTTTGACGAATAGCGACGTAACGGTTTTCGTTTGGTCTTGCGTATTTGTTCTTGGTTTTAGTCTTGGTCTCGTTCGTTGGGTCTTTGTTTCTTGACTAAGACCAATTTTGTTCATCACTAGTTTTGGCGTTGGGGGTTGAGCTTTTTTAGTGTTCTTCAATACCGTCAAAGTTTTCTAGTCCTCTTCGCTCGAATTACGTTAATCGCAACCTGATGTTTAATTGCAGGTAATCAAATGGGTAATTATGCTCTTAAAGTTCTTTTCTGCGATTAGAATGCATGTAAATTTTCCCATAAAAAAGGAGCCGGTATAATTGCATCCAGAAGAGCGGATACTTTTTAATGGCCACGCATAAAAAGCAATAACCGATTTAATAGATGGAATTGATGTTGTTGCGGACTCGGTATAAAATAGAGAATTGTTGCAAACGTGATCGGGAACGGAAATGTTAATTTGTTTTTGCAATTCTTTAGACCGGCAAATTTAAGCTTCGTCATTGCAAGAACCGTAGATATAAGTTCCCCATTCTTCGACCATTCTTGCCTGACGTGGTCAACAACCGAAAACGTTCTCTGCTGTTCCAATTCTTTTGCTTCGTTTGGTTTGTGCGTTGTTAATAATGTGAAGTACGAAAAATTTTGTGTTCAATTCTGACATTCAAATGTATGTATGTAGATATGTAGTCATGTTAGTTACCAATTACATCACTTTAATTATACGTTTTGGTTCTATATCGTACGGCATTTTCGCTTCCAATCTACGTGATGATGATGATTCATATTGTTATATAAATGGTATACGAAATTTCAGAAATTTACGCTTTTTGGAATGTTTTATTAAAACAAAGTTGACTAATTCTGAATTAGTTCAATTGTTCGTTGGGTGCCTGTAAACAGTTTTGTTCACACATAACCCGAAAGATTAGGGGCGAGGAAGGGTAGTCTCCATTATCGGAAAGAAGTCATATTTATTAAATATTAAATGAAGGAGTTACTCTGTAAGAGACTAATCTTTGTCGGGGCAAATTATACAATTATTGCTTATTAATCCTTGTAAATATAATTAACAATAGGTTCATACTTTCCGAAACTATTTGTAGATAAAAAATTGCTTAGGAAACTTTTGACTTCTCGAAATCCTATAATAGTCTCATTCGGTGTTAATGTTATTAAGGTTGTTAAAGGTGTATGTTTGGAGCACGGCGCTGTACGGGTGCGAAACATGGACAGTGGGCGCGGCGGGAAAGAAAAGGTTAGAAGCGTTCGAAATGTGGTACAGGCGAATGATGAGGATGAGGATAGAGAAGACTAGAAATGAAGAGGTATTAGAAAGAGTAGGAGAACTCT